CAGAACTAAGTCAATAGATGCTTTCAACAAGTGCAACGTAAAGCTCAACCCTGATCCTGAAGTGTAGGATAAGGCAATGATGAAGTTAGATTTGTATAGGCTCACTACTGGATCTCTAAGTAAGGGGGTGGCAGTCAGGCAGAGGTCCAAGACCCTCCTAGTAAGTTTAGAACTTCTAATTTACTAAATTACTTCATTTACAATTTTATATTATAAGTGCATGGTGGATGGGCAATGAGGGAAGCACCCCTCATTTGAGGCAGATGGCCATGAAAATACTACATCTGACTTGCAACTATTCTAGATGTGAGCGCAACTTCAGCACCATTGAAATGCTAATATTATTTATTTAGTTATTTGCTAATATTATTTATTTAATTATTTACTTAATAAATTAATAGGTAATACTAAATGAATAGTTAATTTCATACATACTTAGTACTTAGTAACTAAGTGAGTTTTTTTTCTATTAGGTGCATACAAAGAAGAGAAACGGACTAGAGAAAAAATGACTGAATGACCTAGTCTTTGTTCAGTTAAATCAGAAATTGCAAGAGCACCATCGACAATTGGAGCACAATGAAAAGGAGGCTATTGAAGCTTTTGATATTAATGACACATGCGAGTGCCTAGTTGATGCCGATGATAATGAGGTATTCCTTGGAGAAGGCTTGACCTGGGGCAAGGTTCGTGAGGCTGCTGGGACATCAATGCCCCCTGTGCGTACCACTTGAGCTCAATCTCAAACCCAAAGGAAGGGGGAGGACAAGGCCCAAGAAGGGAAGGCAATGCAAAGAAGAGGAAGAGGGTGATGACATCAAGACAGGATGATGAAGAGAAAGAAGTAGATTCAGAGGACACGAGGGATGACGCTCAATATGTTAACAAGGGCAATAACTTTGAAGATGATGGCATGGCATCATCATCATCAAATGCTAGTGAGGATCCACTTGGACACCCCATGTGGTGATGCCATAGAATTGTTTGGTTGATGTGTTTGTTTTTTGTTTTTCCTTGTTGACTTTGTGTATTATTTGTAGACTTCTAGTTTACTACAATGACATTTGGGATTTCAAGCATTTTAATGTCTTACAATCTCTTTGAGACTTTGCATCCGTAAATCTGTTAATCTTATGTTTCATCTAATTCAGAAGGCATTTGGGGCTCTGTGTTAATCTTATGTTTCGCCTATTTCACGAGTTATTTGGGGCTCTAAAATTGCCCTAAAAACTTCCAAAGGCTTAAAACCCTGCACTAAGAACTCCTTCGTGTTTTTTGTTTTGGGGACGGAGGGTGTGGGGGTTTGGGTTATGTCATTTTCCCTTCTTTTTATGTTGACATGGAATTTTAGACAAATGACATAATTATGACTAGATTTAATCATTGTCACGAGAGGCTCATTCTTAGTCAAATTCAAGATCAGATATGCACAGAGGAGATAAACCTATACAAGTATGCATTGAAGTCGTTCACAAGTGTCATGGCAATGAGGCAGAGGACCAAAGTTGATCCAGGTAATAGATTTAAATTCAGTTTTGCTTCAGTTACTTTCAAGTTTCTAGTTTCAACTTTTTAAGTTCAAGTTTCATTTTTGATGTTTCATTTGGTAACTCATAACAATTAAATCACATATCATAATTCATAATTAACTATAGAGACTGCACTCAATTTGCAGCCTATTGGTGGAGCCAGCGTGCCTGCGGTGCTCCAAAATTTTACAAAAGATGGCCATTTGAATCTTGAACCTAACTACTTGTTCATATGGTTGTTAGGGAACTTAAGTATTTTTGAAAGGGCATGTTACTTTAGTTTAGTGAATATAACTTACTTTAAGTCTTTTAACTTATTTATTTTTGTTATGCATTTAAATTTTAAATAATTAAATTATAAGTTTACTAATTGATATATTTCATTTCATGGCGTAGTTTATATGAAGTATAATCGAAGATTAAAGGAAAGATTTGCTAAGCGTGATAAAAGAAGCCCTTTTAAAATGAAAGATACAGAGAATACTATGGAGTGGTTGAAGAGGATGGATATGGTTTCAGAGGCATCAGGTAGAGCAGTCGACCCGTAAGGCCACTATATCATCTTCATAAAGGAGGAAGGGGGATGGAGAAAGAGGAGTCTGCAAATTCAGAAGAAACGGAGGAGGACAAGCATTATGTTGAAGGGGGAACAACAGAATTTTCAACAGTGCCCATCTTACACCACCTGCTCTCTTCCACAAGGTTCTCGCTAACTACCTTTTGGGCTTCTAACCACAAGACTTTCTCAAGCCTATCTAGGAACACCCTTCTCTCTCAATGGAAAAATGCCCTCATCCACATGCCCTCAAAACCCTCAAGAGCGTACAACTGGCAGCCACCACCAGATGACAGCATCAAGTTCAACTTTGATGACTGCTCTCTTAGTAATCCAAGCCCTTCAGGCGCTAGGGGGGTTTTCAGAGATTGCCAGCTAAATGTCCTCTTCACCTTCTCTGTGCACCTTGGGACCTTTGACTCCCAATACGCTGAAGCATCGGCCCTTCTTTTGGGCTTGAGATTTTGGAACCCATCCTGGACCACTTGTCTGATTGTGGAAGGAGACTCTTTGAACACCATCACTTGGGCAAAAGGTTGTCCCCCCCACCTTGGCAACTGTCTTCCATTTTTTATGAAATTACCCACCTTTTGCAAGGGTACGAGCGTCTTATGACAGCATACTTGGAGGACGTCCAACGATCTCGCGGACCTACTGGCAAAGGAGGGAGCTAGCTTACATATGGACATCCAGGCCAAGTCGAACTCCTTTTTTGTTCAGGACCACAACCGCTCTAGATAGCCCGCCTTCATACGCACCAAGACACTGCTCAGTTTTTTATTTTTCTTTTTGACACTGAATCTTGTCTTTAGGGCGAATCTTATAAGCCCATCTGCATATAATCAACTGATGTATTTTTTACCGATTGCCACCCAGTGAGGGTGCTTTCAATCCAACACATTTCGTAATCTTATGGATAATGAGATGGTACGGACATGGCGTATGGTGTATCGTCGATAGACTATGGATTGGATTGTTATTTGTGACTGTATCATTCTTATTTTATTTTTTGGTTGTGCTAGTAGTTTAGTACTTTGGTTTGGAACTTTGGACTACAGGAATTTAATATTTTATGGCGTGTTAATGTGTTATTGTCATGTACTCATATTTGTGCTAAATGTGTATGGAGCTACAGTTTATGTTTATGGAATATTGTAGTGAGTCTATGGATAATGTAGTTTTGACATTATCATAGTACTTTGGTTTGGATTTGGCATTGATTCCACATAAAAATGTTTAAAAAGAAATACTTTGAATATGCATTTTTTATACAAATGTTGGGACCTAAAAACAAGATTCCCCATCCACCCCCTGCACCTCTATCGACCCTAGGCCACCAAGGATCCTGGGTGTCCACCTGGGCACCAGGCAACCATGGGCAACCAGGACCCCCCAGCTGCCTAGGTGCCGTCCAGCATTTTCTGGAACACTGGTAAATGGGTGAACCAACTATATGGAAAGGGTCTCAAAGTCATGCCTTATCATTTGGCTAAACCAGTGAAGCCAAATAAATGCGATGGACCAAGACACATTTTAGGGCATTGCAGGGAGAGAGCAATGAGCACCAATACTCCCAACGAGATCAAGAATATAAAATGAGAAGCTCTATCAACAATGACTTCGTTGCTCTATTAGCAACTGAGACCACATATATGGGAGAAAAATACTAAATTAGAAGCCCTATTATTACCATATATAGACACATATGTGCTAAACTTTATATTCCTATAAATTTCGTGATTTTAAATTTTTTATAATTATTGCCAGCTGGGGAACTGATGTGCTTTGCCTAGCAGCCACCGGATGCAAGGGACTCCGTACCACCTATAGTCCACATACGACAAGTTATAACACTGCTGAAACCTTGCTGCTTTTTCAAAGAACACGGCGAAAGTGAATCTCAAAGGCAAAAGTAAAAGTGGAGAAATCTGTAATTCACTCACTATAACCACATTGGCAGGATTTGGAACAGCATCTGCTACAATTTTCTATTTAGTTGGCATTAACTTTGAACTTTTTTTTTTTTTTTGATAGGTTAGCTTAAGGAAAAGGGCTATATTGATTTTTAGGTTAGTTTTATCAATACTGAAATTTATTTAAAAATTAAATGAAGATAGAGGAAATTAAGAAAAGCTAACAAGAAATCAGGGTAAAATGTCATGTGCAGCTAAATTTGAACTACATCTACCGCAAGACCATAATGAGCTACAACCTTAATTGCTAGGATATCAACATCTCCTTTGTAACCCTAAGGACAAGTGTGAAGGACAACTCCATGGAGCAAAAAATGGCACATATCTTGCCAAAGTTCATGGCCAACCACCATGGGATAGGCATCAGGGCTAATCTAATTTCATTAAGGAAATCACCCTCTACAATAACAAGAAGGCCCAAATGAAAGGGACAAATCCATAATCCCATGAGTAGAGCACATGCCTCAACAATCATAGAATCACATATAGCCACAGGACAAGAAAGCTCCCAGTCTTCCCTGCCTCTGAGAACGCAGAAGATAAAGTCCAACAGACCTGGAGTACAATTGCAAAGTTCAAAAAGTTTGTGTTTATCTATGTATGTACGAGCGTATCAGTGCATGCAAGTATGTCTATATGCATCTGTGATATGGAAACAAGAAGGCAAGCACAGCGTAATGTTCATGTCATGTTTCATGGAAGTAGCTGGACCCAACACAGTTCATTTTCAACAGAAACGCCCATTTGCAAGCACAAAGTCGTACATAGAGATGGAAAACAAATCATTTCAGTGAAAAACGAATGAACCCTTTCAGAATTGAATACATTACTATACAAAGGCGTTCTTGTACATCTAACTTCTCAGAAAACCAAAGGCTCTGGGCATTTCCCGAAAAACCAATGGAAGGCCAAATAAGAAGAAAAAGGAAAAACAAGCCATACCAGAGCTTTGAAGATTCACAGATTTTGCCCCTCAAAGATCCTGCGGAAGGCATGCACAGTCCAGGGACACCTGAGAGGACTCAGTACTTGCTGAAGCACCTCCGGTTCAACCAGAGTACACCATAACCAGCCATTTTAAAAGGGCAGGAAAAGCATTTGCAAATAGGCAACCATTGTAAAACCATGCTATAAGGGTTCAAGAGTTATTGCTGCTTTGGTGAAAACAGATAGAACAAACGGTGCCTCCTCCCCAGGATGAATGGTTGTGGGCACTATCGTATACCCCTTTGGATCGGGATCTAGGACCATTTCACAAGCAATTTCTCTTGAGTTCACATAGTCTGTCCCACCAACCGACTCATGCAAATATATATTGTAAGCTGCACGTCGTCCACGTGTTTTCAGTATCCTCATTCCGATGTAAAACATCGACGAGTCGTGACTTGATTGGTAATTCCGGAAACCAGCATTTTTTCTCGAAAAACTAACCCCCTGTCAAAAGAAGAAAAGAGGACGAAACAAAAAGAAAAACAACTTAGTATCACTATGCATCAAGCAATGATTAGAAGGAAAACGAATTCACATCACATAATCACAAATTCAAATGCATATCAAGAGCCTTTTGTATACCTGAGTCAATGTGATGAAAACATGAATTGGCAATGAAGCCTCAGGTCCAATTGCCCTAAGCCTAAACTGAGGGTTCTGATTCCACGTGTCATAATCTTGGCAGCCCCCAGCACTGCAGCCACGCCATTGACCATGTATGGAATAACGCATCTCGGGTGGGTATATCCGGCAAACATATATTGACCGAAAGTGAAGTTGAAAATCTTGCCAGGACATCCAGAATATTCCATCTTTTGACTGGCCAATGAAAGAAAATACGAGTTTTTGACATGCATCCATGTGATGATTATAATTAAACCTAATTAAACAGCAGTTCAAATTTAATAATAATAAACCGCACATTGTGATAAATGACATCATGGTTAAGCAAACTATAAACAACAATATTGTAAGGAACACTCGTGGATGTTCATTATGAAATTCACACCTCCTATGTCATAGAAGAGGTGAAAACTGAAAATTACTAGTGGCTACCTGGGCAACATGCTTGAGCTTGTGCCTTATCCTGTCGGTCCATTCTGGTGATGAGTCTGACCATGGGCCATTCCATTCAACTTCATTAGCCCATGGGTTACGAATTTGAACAAGTTTGTGCCCATCAACCTCTCTTACCTGACAAAATTTTCAGCAGAGTGAAACTCATAATCCAATTCCAATGACTTCAACTTTACATATAGCAAAGATACACGCACGCACATACGCACACTTACCCACCCACAAACACGCACATGCATGTATGCACGTGCATACACAGCGCTTTTACTTCCATGTAAAACAATTATCCAACCCAAAACCCCAAATTACCTGCAAGACAGAATAAGCATGTCCCTGGACAATTCCACTTGAAGAAATGTGAACATCTGAGCCTGATGGGCTCCCGGCACCGAGAAGAAAACCCTCTTGCTTGAAGCGTAATAACTGAGACCACAATCTTCCACTTGCAAGATCAATCTGAGCTTGCGCACTCCTCATGTCTATCTCTTCACCAGCCCCACCAGTCAGGTCCACAAGAGCATCTTGGACCAGCCCACCCTCAAGTGCCTCATAAGACCCATGAAGCTTTGCATAAGCTTTTTCAAGAATGGAAACCCAAAGCTCATTGCTCTTCCTACTCGTTGCAAATGCTGGCTTGCCACGTGACTCACATGGAATCCAATCATCAACAACAACTGGAACCCATTCACCCTACAAGTACACCCATACTCAAACGTCAGTTTCAGGCTTCCATTCCAAATGCAGCAACAGGCATGCCTGAGAGTAGTGTTTAAACTTTAAAAACTTTTAAATCTCAGGAACCACCAGTCAGCTCAGGCATGGCCGATTTTTAAACTCGCTCAACTCCCTGTGATGCATCTTTTTGAAAGATCATCTCAATTCTTAAAAGATTCACCGAGTGTCTGAGTTTTACATAGGACTCAGTAGAATGATGAGTCAAGTCCTAGTCTTGTAAGATTCTCATACGAAACATATATTCAAAAAATTAAATTAAATTTTTATTCTCAAAAAAAAAAAAAGGAATATTATTATGAATATTTGAGTTTTACAAGATAAGACTTGGCAAGTCAACTACGAACTCAGCAAGTTGAAACCGAGTTTGAGTTTTGATATTGTCTAAGACAAATAAGGAGACCCATTACGGTTTTTAAACACCACTTCCCCACCCATATTTGCCCATTTTTTTATTAAATTGTTCCAGTAATATGCATTCACAAGCACTCCTTTCTAGGTTTAACATATTTTCTCACAAAAGCATCAACACAGCTAGATATGAGCTTTTAGTCAAAAAATGTCAAAAGGTATTCACCCAGAAAGAAATGTCAAAAGGTGAACTTGCAATTTCAGTCCGAGTGTTGGATTCTATGTAGTAAACCAATAATGTATAATTTTATTTTGGGTTGCACCCATTGCACTTGTGGGATGGGTCACCTTAGCAACCACCTTGAGTGCGAGAGTGCATGTCATATTTTTTTTTTGCGTTATGACACTGCTATAATGTGTATGTTGGGTGGCTCTTTAATAACTATGTATTTGTAACCTATAATCTTTTCTCTCTTTTTTTTGGGGCAATTTTCTTGCTTCTAGGGATAATAATCACATAAAACAGTAGTACTCCATTATATCAACAAGGGAATTTTTCCCAAGTTTATAAAAGTTAACCTTTATTCAAAAAAGAAATTTCTGAAGCATCAGTCTACTTTGACAAGGACAACCTATTAGACCAATCCAAAACCCTTTAATGGCTCTGTGATTAGAGGTCCAAAGTTGATGGACCTAGTGTTATGTTGCAGTCCAACTCCATACCAGTTAGATCGGTATCCTGGTCTAATTTTTATATCAACTGATATGTATCAGTTAATCAGAGTGGCAGCATGGATCCAAAAATAAACATGTTTGAACAGACAGAAAACACAATTGAACATAAGCTAAAAATAAAATTAAGCACAACAGGCACCAAGCCTTAAGAACACAAAATCAGGTTGAACTCAGAGTAAAACTTCATTTAAACTGGAGGCTAACTCAAGGTTTCAAAATCTAGAAGTTTGACATGAATAAAACAGCTTATCAAGTCAGTTACTTCTGAGTTAATAGCATTCTCAGGGTTTAAATAACCATATGGTCAATCAAATAGTCCATGGTTATGGTTATGTGCATAAGATTATGTATGCGCATGGCTTGGTTACATGCAAAATTGGAAAGGAGAGAAGCACTTCACCTTATGAGCACATCTATGGGGACATGGCAAGAAAAAATATGAGCTGGATGGATGAGCTAACAAACAACAGACCTAAATTTTTTTACAGGATGATGGCAGTCATTGGACCATGGTAATATAAGAAATATCGGTCGTTCAAGGTTAAATGGGGCACTAGAAGCATGAGGGAATTAACAAGAGTCTCCCGAGAACAAAAAGGATGTGTCATTCATAGGGAGTTCTCTCTCTGTATCAGTTATGGGGTTGGAGACAGGTCTCTCATTAGTTTTGGAAAATTGGCATGATATTGGAATGAAGATTAATAAGATGTTATTCAATGATAGGTTATCTAATAAGCTTCGCATCCTCTCAGTGGTTTTTGCCAGTGGATGGAACAGAGATTGGATCTTCAAGGGGAATGGGGCAAACAAGGAGCTTCTTTGTGATCGTATATGACATCGAGCTCTTACTTGAGCATGCACCAGAAAAGAGTTTCAGGGGCATAATGCTAGAAGCTTCACATGAAATTGGAAGCAGGTGGTTCTCTAACAACTCACAATGGTCAAGCATTCACATACATGGTTTCCTTCAGGTGTAGAGGTCCTTAGGTTTGATTTTGATGGATGCTCCCATGGTGATCAGGAACCAAGTGGGATACGAGGTAATTTACAAGATATAAATCTCAGGGGCCAATGGATATTGCGATTCCACATTGGCTTAAGCCAAGAAGTTAATAATGTAAGACCATCCCTATCAAACTCCTTGAAAGAATTTGAAGTAGATCGCTTAAATGCGATTCAGTGGGCATAAAAGGAAGATCATCAAATCCCATAGAGATAACTGATGATTGTCATGGAGATAATTTGACAATTGTGATCATTCAGAGCTTTTATTTATTTATTTATTTTTCCCTTGAAATGTCATCATCAGAGCTTTCCTTATCCATGTCCTTAGAAATGCTAATTCAGGAGCCAATATGTGGGGGAATGATGGTGTGAGCCGAAAGAGTTTATATGTAGAGTCAAGTTATAGGGATGATACCTTGTCATTATCAGATATGGATATTGTATTGTTTCACAATTCCATTTGCTATTCATAGAAAAAATGGCTAGGAAGTAATTTTTCATGCAAGGACCCTTGTTAATAGTTTAATGAGAATCCAAGTTAAAGCTAGTGGGGTGAATCTATCGAAGGTCCAAAAATACCTATATGAACTGTTGATGCACACGTCTTCTGTGGATGTATTAATCAAATTTGCTGAGATGGAAAACAAAGTGAAGAGGCATAGGCACCCCATTTCGGGCTAGGCAAGTAGAAACACCATAGGGAGTGGATGCGTTCAAAGAAGAAAATTCAACGTACTAGTGCTTTGCTGGGATAGACAGCTGTTGTTATGGTTAACATGATTCTGATTTGCAATAAGCCAAAAACAGATGGAAAGGAGGCAAGATGGGGTTCCAGGCTTAAGAAGCAAGGAAGGGTTAGGGCCAGCAGCAATGGGATTACAAGAGAGGGTGTTAAAGAAAGAGGATACCGAAAAGATTCCCGAGGGGGATGGCTCCAATATGATCTTGTCTTCACCGGATATAGGAAGACTTGGTGTAGGATTTCTGCCAAAGGCCCGAGATCATCAAGTTCAAAATCATTCAAGGGTCTCCTGAAATTTGGCGACCAAGATTGAAGGGGGCCTGTGATCCCAAAATTTTCCGTCACAGTTGAGCATTCATCGTGCGCTATGTGGAAGAGGCTAGGGAACTGATCCCTCAGAGATCAGCATCCAACCCAAGTGTCATTCCAAAAAGAGACCCTGGTTCCCTCTCTTGTGTGAAACCTAATGTAACGAGAGAATTGCTCATGGCACTTAAGGACAGATTTCCAGAATCCAGAAATTAGGCCATTATTCCTGTATACCGGAATCCATCGGTCGAAGCTGTGACAATACTTGTGATTGAAGACTTCTCTCCAAAGGTGGCTTGAGTGGGTCGCACACCTCCACCACCACTTGCCCAAGACAGCATCAATGTGGACTCTCAAATTGTGAACAACCAGACCTCCCTGAGACTTTGGGAGGCACAATTTGGACCAAGCAATGAGATGGAACTTGTTCTCATGTTCACTCGACCAGAAAAAGCCCCTCATCATTCGCTCCAATCTAGCAGCTATCGAGGCCGGGATGCGGAATAAAGACATCTGGAATACAAGCTAATAGCTAGAGTGGCTTCCTGCCTTGGATAGAAACCTTCCTTTCCATCCCACGCATCTCCAATCAAATTTATCGATAATGTGGGTCGAGGTATCCCAAGACAAAGGGTGAGACCATGGTAGAAGAGGGTAAATTCTCGACAGATAGTACATTTTAGTAAATATTAATACAATTATAGTCAACTTTCCTCAAAAAAAAAGAAACAGATGAAAGAGTATGAAATCCTGATTTCTATCTCTAGTTTTCTTCCCCCCCCCCCCCCCCCCAAACAAAAACAAAAACAAAAAATCATTAGCATGCCTGAAATTTGGATATTTTCATCCTCCCGTATCAGAAAAGAAAGATATGAGCAGGACTGAAACAAATCCAAGTTAGAAACATGTCATGAGCACAAAATAAGAAATGAACAGATACATACTGCCCACATGTTCAGATTAACCATTACAAGCAAAACAACTCGAGGATATTACCTGAATGCAGAAGCGGACAGTATATACACCTTCCTCATTAAATTGTGGCGTAATTATCACTTCGGATATCTGGGAAACCTCAGTGAGGACAGCAACAGCACTTAAGAACCAACAATCACCTAATCGACCCTGTACAAAGACAGTATACCATAATAATTTGCATTGGTCCCAAGTCCAAAATAATCAGGAGACAAAAATGGAAGCTACATTAAAGCATTGATCCTAACAAAATAGATACCTGACAAACATCAGAAGGATTGGCAGGTCCAGAAAATAAACATGGAATAGAACCCATAGAGCTCTCTTTCATTAATTCCATAGGCCGCATCCATTCAGAAACAACCTTGAACAAGAAAAATCAGATGAAATGCTATCAGAATTGATTCTTTTCATCACTAAGTAATTGAACTTTCGTACAGTGAAACTAAAAAGTGATGCCATGCCACTAATATTTCCAAAAAAAAAAAAAGTGATGCCACTAAAAAAAACTCACCTGTAGTTTTGGAGAAGGATTATCTGGATCAACAAACAATGATTGCTCATTGGGAGGGAACTCCTGGTCAGTAAAATGCATTTCCCCTCTAGCAAAAAGCGCCTCCTTCACAGCAAGCTCAACAGAGCGCATCCTTTGATTTATTTCCTCCCTTGTTTCCATCCTCGGCTTCCTGAACTTCCTAGCAAGATAATCCATATCCACAGCCACTCCTTCCCTTTCAGCCCTTCTTCTCCTCCCACTAGAGAACTGCCCATCCCAATCAACATCATCCCTATCATACAAATCAACATCTGCAGGCTCGCTGTCCCACTCATCAACCTAGATATACAACAAATAATAAAAAAGATAAATTACCATTATGATGCTAGTTTGATAAAGTGGCCTATAACAACAAAGTAACACGAGGCCAGGATTTAAATAAAATATAAAACTTTAGATTAATACCCTTGGAGGAGATTCAGCCCAGTGCCATCCCTCATCCGGAAGATCAGCCAGATTGTACTCCTCTGAAATTGTAGCAGTATACAGAGCAGCAATCTCATCCTCATTCAAACATCTTCCCCACAAAAATGCATCCATTAAATGCATTTTAGATTCAGATCCTTCACTATCTGACCTACCAAATGCATCTAAATCTGTTGGAGGTCTTATTCCAATCCAAGCTTCGGTTCCCTGCTCCCATATACCATTCTCTACAAGTAGTGGCAATCCAGTTTGATATCCATCAAAACCCCCATCCACGAAAGAAGCTGCCTCACCCAGTTCAGCATCAATGGTCACAGATACCATATGCCACCTGAAAAGAAAGTTTGCATGGATAATGTTAAACCTTTTTTTTTTATATATGCTAACTTCACGGACAACGTGCAACTTCAAGTCACAGGAGAATATAATAGAGCTATAAAGATCTTTTTTCTATCACATATGACCAAGTCATCTGGTTCTACTTTTCATATTCTAGATTGGTGAACCTGGCACTCTCAAGAAAAGGCTACACCAAAAGCAGATTGATATTGCTTGACTAGATTATGTTGGTCACAAGCCCACCAGACTGTCTTTTTCTTTTTGATGGTGCAAAAAGGTAAAAGTTTATTACTTATGCAACACTAATAATTAATCATAAAGACACTTTTATATCAAATTAAGCTCAAACCTTCCATCCGCAATGCTCGTTGCCCCAATATTCCATTCTTTTACAACAGTGGTCTGCCTGACACCTTTTGTAACCAATCTAAGTGCAACTTGCCCGGACTCTATACCTTGCTCTGAACCAGCCACAAGGACCTCCCAGCAAATTTTCTTCTGAAATTCAGTTCCTAAAAGACAAACAGGGCCTGACTCAGGCTGGATCATGACTGCAATAGAAAAGGTAACCTTCTGACTTTGGCACACAGCCGGATCAACTGCACCGCAGTGTCTGCCCCCTGTCCTAGGTTCATCATCAAGAATACATACAGCACCCAGGACCCCAGTCTGTAAAAGATTCCAATCAAATTAAAGTTACAAGGGTGATAAAATCTTCTCAACTGAACCTGGTTTCAAATAGCTACAACATGGACGAGAAAAATAAAATAAAGGGACAGTATTGATAATCTTAATGCTTAACCAACAAAAATAATATAATCCTAATGGAAATAGAAAATCCATAAGCTATGACATCAACGGTCAATCAGTGGCTTGGATGGTGATGAAGAGAGAGGATCCACCATAGATCTCATGTCATATTCTAGCCAATCATGCTCCATCGGCATCCAACCATTTATTGGATGGTGATGGCTGCATAACTGCATTTTGTCATAGTCATCAGGATTATAAGCATACTAACCCAAAAATAAAATGATGATCCCAGGTGGAGTGAACTCTCAATCCATCATTATTCAACACTGAATGGATGGCGATGACCCTCATGACCATTGAGTTTTTTAAGCCATGAGGGTATTAGTACACTTTTTTTTTCCTTTTTGACTAGGTGACTGTATTTAATTAAAAATTGATGTACATTTATAGGTTGTTTTCTGTTTTGCTTTCTGTTAACAACATCAAGTATGGGTACAAACAAATTCTAAAGACAAACCTGTTAAATGACAAGACTATTTTATTCCTTCACAACAATAAAATGAAAAAAGTTGAAGACAAGCCTGTTGTGCTCGACGTGCCATCTGAGCTGTGAGGATGCGACGAGCAATGCTAGATACCCGCTCCCTGGCAAAAGAATCCTCCAAAACAGCATCTCCACCAACGGCACGCACCGCTGCAGCCATTGCCGCCGCCTCTCTGCTTCCAACATTAGGAATAGAGGACATAAGAGAGGCTTCTATCTCTTTCCACTTGCGTTCTTCTTTTTCCAAGAGGGCCTTTCTTCTTTCTTTTCCCTTCCCCTCCTCTTCACGTCTCTGCATCAACATTTCCTCTTCCATCTCCTTTTCCCTAATGTAACTGCACAATAACAATACATGTAAGTCAAAAGTGGACAAAACTAAAATCAAATCCAAAAGTAAGGATAAGAAAATCACCTTTCTTGTATCATTTCAAACTGCCTACGATCTTCAGGCAGCCACTTTTTTATTTTCTTGGCACTAAGATCTGAGAAACCAATACTATCAAGGAAAAGACGCAAGCGAACCTCATCCTAACAAAGAATCACAAGTAGTATTTTGTTAACACTCATAAGAAAATATAAATTAGACAAATATATTGTAGAAGATCATAGGAACAAAAAAGAAGGCGTAAAACGAAGGTTTCACAACATTTCTTATTTACCTGTACACGCTCTGCTTTGGCAGTCAAACCCAGCAAGAGTAGCAAATATCCACCAAACTTATCCCACATGTATACCCATTCCGTATCTATAGCCTCCTCCAAAGCCAATATGCGTGCATGAGCACACATTTTCCTTCTGTAGTCTACATCATTAGAAGACTCATGCCGATATGTTAAGCCACTTTTCATTCCACAAAAGGATAACCCTGCAGCAACTTCCTCATTTCTCAAGCGATCTCTCAATTTGATCACATCCGCTCTTGGAAGCACAAAATTCCCACCCCGATCTCTAGTAATGGTAGGATCCCCAACCAAGAGAGCAGCAGAACTAGCCGATCTTTGTGGAGCTGAGTAAGTTCCAGATAAAGCATTTCTAGTCTGATTTCAGAAAAAGAACACAAAAAGCAGCATTGCATATTAGCATAACCCACTGGTTCAAAGCATAAGGATAAATAAAGCATTTTACAACTACTTCTCAGAAAGATTAAATAAAATAAAACGTCCCATTGCTAAAAATGCAAACTTCTTAAGATAAACAAATAAAGGAAGGAATTCTTTATGGAAAAAGTTTATATAAGGTTGCAATCTTTTTTTCTTTTTCTTTTTTTCTTTTTTTTTTTTTGAAGTGTTAACAATATATAAGGTTGCAATCTTAAATTGTAGAATTAAAGATGCACCTCAAAAATCCATCGGAAAAGGTTGTTTAATGTTGAAAAACCCTCTAATTGATCATCTCGGTATCAAGATGTATGAATATGAAAAAAAATATTCAAAAAAAGGGATTTTGCATCCCAGAAATAGCGCATCTTGCAACACATTGTCTAGGCCATCCATTTTCAAGATTTTGATATGTTTATAAATCTACTTGATTTTAACTATTTTTGGAGTTTAAAATTTTATAATTAGATATGAATATAGATTTTGCCATAATTTACACCAAAATTACAGCATTGTTTACGCCAAAATTACATGTTATGACAAAATTTGGTGGTGCGCCTTAATTGGATTGTTTAAGGTTGCAACCTTATAAAAACCACACCCTTTTTTTACAAATCAAACAAAGAAACAGTTGGAGATCTGACTCTTTGAGTTGCATGAATTTCATGTAAATCCTAATATAACTTCTATCAAAGATAAGAATTAAGCACACAAAATGGTTCAATCAGATGACTTTACAACCAAATCCGATGATGAAACACATCAGAAACCATAATCAAGACATTTTTTTGGAAAACTAACATTCATGAAGTTCATATAATCCAATGACAACCAGAATCATCAACTCCCTGCCCAGAAAATGCTTTTCCGAGTAATTCAAGGAGCATCTTTACAAGTTTTCGCACTTCAAATGGGAACTGTGATATTTATAGACGTAGACGAATAATCATATCTTAGATCAATGATGTAAGAAACAGGGAGAACAAAAGAAGGGAGATTTGAAAGTTGATTTCCACGACCTTTGCCATGAATTTTGTAATTTAAATGGAATGTGTCTCTAAAGAGGAAGAAGAATCAGTGGCATCTCAGTGTCAATGACACAAGAAACAGGATGAACCAAAAAAAAGGGGACAGATTACAAGCAGATCTCCACCATTTATCATGAGAACCTGGAGCTCAGGATAGAGATAAGAGGGAACCATAATCAAGGTCTTGAACTACTTTGCAAACATTTGTGGAATATAGAGTAGCTATAATCGAGCTATGAACCAGATAAATAAGTGCATCTAAAGAACCTATTAAAACCACATACGTGAATGAAAAATGCCTGCTTCAATGAGAGCCAGAATAGTATTTCCAGAAAGAAATGCATGAACATCTTAAATACCAAGAAGTTGGGACCAACCTTTGTGGCTGATCGAGCAATTGCCTGAATTACGGTATCTTTACCGAGAAAGTGCACAGCATCTTCCATCATCTGTTGTTCAGAAGACATTAACTTTTTACAGTGTAGGAAGATATGAAATAACAATCAAAACAGATTTAATATGCCATAATTTCCCAGGAAAATTCTTCCGTATAGACATAAATATAAAAAGGAGAATTAACAGTGGACAGACTAGAGGGATTGTAAAGTAATCCACCTTGAGGGTCAAACAAGGACGAGAAACAGCAAACCCAAATGCTACAACAAGATTTATTGCTGATACAGCAGCTCCAGCAAAAGGGGGATAAATTTTCAAACTTGCAACAACACCCCAGCCTTCTGTAGCCAAGGCGATCCCATACAAAACAAGGAATGCAGAACTGTACAAAGTGGTCAGATTCAGATTATGAATAGAAACATGTTGAAAGTAACAGTTCAATAAGGATGTAAATTAATGAGATAATAGAATCAAAATACATCCACAGAAGGATACAAGAATAAAAAGTTAAAACCAGAGGGAAAAAATACTAGACATACCTGACATTTTTTGCACAATCCGCATGAGCATCATAAACGTAAACAGGCAACACTCTTGGTGAGTAGACGACTACTGGAGGTGAAAGAAGAACCTGGCACAAGAATAGTTCACTCAACAAAGCAATGCTAAAAACAATACATATAATCAAATCTTAGAAGCACAGTTAATACATAGAAACTAGGGACTTAAACATTTCAAAGAAAAAAAGTGGGCAAACTTACAGTCAATGCCCGCCCAGCAAGAAGAAATAAAAATGAGAAGTAACCAACGGATGCTCCCACAAAAGGCTTATCTGCACACAGCATGTAATTCTTAGTTACAAATATACAGGATTATCTAGCAGTCAACCCAATAATATAGGAACACAGATATACTCCCTAGAGAAAGTCAAACAGCTAACAAACTAGTTAGACAAATAAACATAATAAACGAGAACCTCTACCTTCCAGCAGTCCAACCAGAAAAGCAGCCAAAGCAAGAACAAATGCTAGAAGACAAACTAAGAACATCTGTGTCCTTGTCAGATAAAAATTGTTTGAAGCCCAAAAGTGGATGACCCCAATGGCCAGGACAAGAAGAAGGAGAACTAAAAGGCAAGCCACTCCAATCTGTGACAAATATAAACAACCAAAGTCAGATTGGTAGAGCAGATACATGCACACATATTTACCAAAATTTCAGAAGAATGCCTCACCGTCCAAGGCTTAACAGTAACAATGACGGCTGATATTGCACAAAGCAAGAGCAGTAAACCAATTCCAACAAATACATAAACACCTCGAGAAAGCCTCCAATCATCATCTTTCCTACAAACACCATATGCAAACAGTATTTCTCATATTATATAGGATTTCACATTTTACAACATTAGTTAACAGTTTACAACATTAGTTGCAAACACAACCATCTTCCTCACCATTTATGCAGACCCGAATAAAGTGATAGCACTGCAGGGATGCAAATCAAGGGCAGTAGAGCAGCAAGAAAATCTGCCTTCATTGGAACCTGATCAACTCGAGAATTCACGACTCCAAAATATGATGCTCCACAAAACGCAACAAGAACAACTACACAAGAAAAAATAATAATAATAATAATATATCATAGATCCCTGATAAAAAAGCAACGGGTGGTGAAAGAACAAATAGGTGGCAAAGGACTAGAGCGCTTTTTTCCCTATTATAAGTAGGCTAAATAATGGAATTGAATTGATGAAGCATATACATAACCAAAACAAAATCTGATAAAAAAGAATCTGATGAAGTTATACAGATTTCTAAACCTTATTAAAGATCATACGGTAGCAAACAATATTTTCCACTAAATAATTTCAGCAGCCAGAAAGTACTTAAACTCAACTTACTTGCAAAGATACTGATGCAAGTGGCTGAAGAGAGTGAAAACCTATAGGTTGCAAACCACGAAACAATGGGAAGCACACCAGTAACTATTAAAGCCAGTGCTGAAGTTATTGCCCAGCCAAGGTAAAAAGATGATGTGTACGGAGAATCAAAACTTTCTTTATCTCCATTCCAAGCCTCATAGCGCAAATCATCCATAGGTTTTTTAGATATTATTGAACCAAGAGCCAAAAGTGAGACAATAAATATCAGCATAGAAACCGTGAGGACAATCCCCTGTAATTATGCCCATCAGTACATGTTGCAAATAGAGCGGTGTGATCTTTTCTAATAAATAGCATTGTAGAAATTATTTGCTACATATTTGAATGATTTCAAATGCTAGTAAACACAAATATCCATTTTCAAAATAATGAGTGACAATTAATTATCAAAAAAAAAAAAAGGACAAACAATGGGCATGAACATACGATGTATACATATGTATCTATTATTACTACTTAGCAAATGAGTGAGAGGATCACAATCCAAAGCGTACAGCCAGCAACAAGAACAGACCTCCTTCCGCCCAAGAATTTGTGGGTTGTTTGTCTGGCCAGCACAATCCATTCGTGGAACCCAAAATCTGTGACCATTGCGAATCCACAATGGAACTGCAACTGAGAGACTTGCTACCATGAGTGGGATCGTAAGTGCTAAACCAAGCAGAACAGATGATTTGCTGCACATAAGAATGAAATGAATTTTCAGATTTAAGCTATTAAGTTCCAGAAAGCTTGAAACCAAAAAAAGAAAAAAAAACAAAGATAAAGACAGTCACCATAGAAAACAAGCAAATTGTAAGCAGGCTAGTAAACACAAATTAATAATAAGAAATCCAATAATACCATCATTGTTGCATCAAATTATAATGCATCAATTACAACTGTTCAAGCTGAAGTTAAAATGATAAAAGAAAAAAGAAAAAACTTCTGCAGACAGTAGCACAGACAACCGCATTTACCGATGACAACCAGCAATTGTCATCAACTAAGATCTTCTTAAAAGATAAAAATAATTTGTCCAGATCAAGTTGATTTAAGAAATCAGTCCCTAATAATAATGAATACTTCACCTTTCCAAGTATAATGATACCCATTCTCATCTAGAAAAAGGAGCAAAAAATACTTTTCCCATCTAAGGAATAACAAAACAAACCTTAAGAATGAAAGTAGTAAGCCAACGCAGGTAGTCATCAACCAAGCAATGAAGCCATACTGCAAACACAAGATTGAAGCAAGAAACAGTCAATAAGAGTTACTTATCGAAAAGAAATGACATGTGAACTGCAACTCACAACTATTCACACTCATCACAGAGGAGACTTGGCCAAGCATAAATACATAATCCATTGATGATTAGGGCATAAAGGGCTTCACCTCTAAGACAAAAATCCTAGACCCAAGCCCCAGATTATCCGCCGGAATGAAAACAAAAATATAATTAATAAAGCCCCCAATTGTGAGATGACACAAATATCTATTAAGCACAAAACCTTTACTAAAATTCAAATAATTTCCCAAGAGAAGATCATAGCATGGTTGTCTCATTAGTGATATTCTTGGAAGAACGTATTTATTGAAATAGACCATGACGAGGTGAATAAATATCCAATCATGTAATCACCTTGCGGGATCTGGAGGTCATGGCCATGTCTTCTGCTTGAAGTGAATGAAGGAAAGCCATAATGGAACAAACAACTGGCGAAAAAAGCAGCGCTGAAAAGCCAAATTCAAACTGCACAGCAAAGTAAGATAATCAAATAGCAGATTTAACTTCTATAGTATAATGCATACTCAAAGCAAAGAATTCAGTACAGAAGATAGCATGCTCTTATATTGCTATAGAATCCAATCGCACCTGTTCATGAGTTGCGTTTATCACTTTGATGGTCTTTGGACGATAGATGGCTACAATCACAGTTTCCAGAATAAAGACTAAACTGAAAAGTACCCAAGCTCTCTCTGGGCTACCAGCTATGTGACGAAGAACAGTTCTAGATAATTCAGTCCATTTCTCCAAACCCCGTCGCCTCAATTCTTCTGACCATGAAATTTGGATGGCTGCAGCATTTTCAAGAGAATTTAAATCATTGATAGCAGCATCATTATTATCCCGATGATCTCTATCTGCATCTAAACTGCTCCTCTGAAGCAATGCCAGAATTGTCGGGTCCAAACCCTTCTCCCGCAACATCACAGCAAAATTTGGGTCTAGCCCTTTATCATGAAGTAGACTGGCTATTTCACGATCACCTTGCTTTGCTTTCCTTTTTAACATAGAAGTAACCCGGGGATCATTTAACTTCTCCTGAAAAATAAGAGCTAAATTTGAATCCAAAGTTTGTTGGTTTATTGAATTTGTTGATGTGCTTGAGTCACATCCGTGACTTTCCAACCCACCACTAGCACAAATGACTGAAGAACTGATATTGTCTAGACTCCTATCAGTAAACACCATTTCACATTCTTGAACAACTGAACGGCAAGAACTACTCCGCCATGCTACACTGGGTCTTCCACTATCAATGCCATTATCAATATTCCCAATCCCACCTAGGTGACAGGCTTCAACACTGCTACTACGTTTAGCACTAGACCCACAACCTTCAGAAGAACTGGAAGAACTAGTCAATCCTTTCCTCCGGAACCCCTCCCTTAACCGAACCACCGTACTCTCCAAAGCATCACGTCTAGCAGCTATTGGATTGGTAACAGAAAAGTGACGAGAAACAGCAGCTCCCAAAAGAACAGATGCAACGACCACATAACTAATGCAATGTCCCAAGTACCTGTATTAAATTAAAAAATTAGGTGGATTCTAAAATGACTTAAAATACATATAAATAAGTTCAGTGTCATGCTAAATCTATTTACCAGTACTGCACACCAAAGCAGATGAGAAAAATCCTAGAGGTTCCCGCAACAAACAGAGCTGTAACTCGACTTTTTAGGAGATCAAAGCCGAAAAGACATGCCCCCATGTTCCAGTCTGGGGAAAGACATAGCCTTCTCAGATTTATGCCATTCATTATCAAAAGAATAACAATTACAAAGAAACAATAGAAAAAAAAAACGTTAAACCACGTACGAACTGAACATACCAAGTACAATAACAGCAGCCGAGGTGGTTGCCCCAAGCCATCGGGCTTCCTTTGCTGTCAACCCATACAAGACAGAGTATACAACAAGCACAACCAGCGACCCAATGTACAGAAGCCCAAGGTGTGAAGTCCTACGTGACAAATAAGGAAGACAAATAAGAAAAACAACAATTACAAGATGGAATCACATATAGAACAGGCATCAGCAATTAAAAGATAGTCTATTGGAGATCATATATTCAAATACTTCTTAGATGATAACATTAAATAAAACAGGCAACAATAAGATGTAGCAGATTCCATACTCAAATTTCTTGTGTCACTGATATTCAATTTTAAAATAGGCTATTTTGAACTTTATTTTTATTTTTTTCAGGTCATCGACATAAAAATTTTATTTATGTTGGCTGAAATTTGTGCTTGAAGAATGAGGGGACCAAAAGAAGACTTTAGATAACGTGTTGAGTACGATTATGAGCTCTCTCATTTTAGGATTAATGTGGACCTTCAAGTTGGTTGAATTTCCTTTATGTATTAGCTTTGGGAGTTGTTAGGAAAGTGAATGGAAAAGGTGGACATGAGCTACATGGAATCTCCTATATTTATGAGATTTAGTTAATGTAGAGAGAGATTTTAGGAGCGATACGTGAGACTGAGAGAGAGGGAGATTTACATGAGAAAGAGAGACGGTTAGGGAGAAAAAAAAAAGTGGGGAAGAGAGTTTTTGTAGTTTTTAAAAAAAAAATTTATTTCTTTTAGTTGTATTTATGAAAGTACGCCCATCTTTGAGACTTGGTTAATTTGATAAGAAAGAACTTGTTTCTGGATCTTGTGAAGAGATCTTGGAGTAAACTCCCGTGCAAACCCTGAGAGAGGGTAATTTCTCTCAGCCCTTTATTATTATTTTATTTTAATTATTTCTTTCCCATCTTCCCCTACATCAGTCGCTGAAAACATTCTAGAGCTTATAGAAACTAGAAAAGTAAAGCAAGTGCTTGCCTGCTACATTTATGCAATGACAGGTCAGTTGGTTCAGGAGGTTCCGGCAAGCAAGCTACCGGACCAACTTCAATACAGTCAGAATAAGCAAACTTGTATGACCTTCGCACATATTCATCAACATCTAGGCCAGCTCCTGCATTTCCCATTAATAAAGTAATCCAAAAATATTTTCAATAAATATTCAGAAAAATTTTCTCTTTAGAAAGTCTCAAATAGAGATTCAGAGAAAATTATTATACATGTAACAAATAGCAGCATCAAGAATCTGCCTATTGCTGCAAGTTTACCCACACATATATCAAAAAACCAGGAGGAGCAGTAACAAGATTTACCATTAAAGACCATTCTGCATATAAAAAGCATGTTGATTGCCAATGAAATTGCTGATACACCAAAGAAAAAGCCAGATGGTGAATGTTCAGCTGGTTTGCCACCAGTTGTGACATATACCGCACAAAGTTCATATGCACACAGGAGAGCTACAGCAAGAAGAAGAAGAATAGCAACAGCTCCTGCAAGATAAGAAAAAGTTGACAAGCCATGTTATCAGAAAGGAAGTTTTATATTTTTTTTCTTTGATAATAGTTAACTTGGAATTAAAAGATTGAAACACAGAACATAGTACATAAGGTACAAGTTGGGCTCTAAGCTATCCCCGACCTGTATCGTGGTCCCTGAGGGGAGGACCAAGATCAGTCCAGTCACAACTTGGACTTAACATTAAGTAGTTAACATGGTGGGGCTTATAGAGCTGCCCAAGTACAAAAGCGGACAAAAGGAAGAAGGGCCTATAGTTGCCCTTGTACATAGTATATCTAAACTAAGCATTCTGTGAAGAAGATTGGTGTGCTGCTCCTTTAGCGAGTGCGTCTGCGGTTGCGTTTGTGATCCTTCAGGGTATGCTGCCACGTGACAAACAGGTCCCTGCATAAGTGGTTAATCTCATCAAAAATGTGACTCAAGTACCAAGGTGGGTCTCTTTTCCCAGATCCCCAGGTTATGATGTTCTTGGAGTCTCCCTCTACGAGCACGATTCTACCCCACGTAAGGTTAAAACGTTTGATTCCAGTTAGAAGGGCCAGAGCTTCTGCTGTTTGTGAGTCTTTTGTTCCTATGAACTCCAAGAATGAAAGGAGGATAGTTCCTTCAAAGTTTCTAAACACTCCTCCAATGCCTGCCGGACCAGGGTTACCTAAAGAGCACCCATCAAAGTTGAGTTTAATTTGACCTTTTAGGGGAGGGGTCCATCTGGGATTGATTTCACTTTTATGATGGGTGAGGAGTAGAAGATTACTCCATTCTTGTATAAAGGAAGATGCCGATATTCCCGTAAACAATTTATGGTGGGTTGCCCAAAAGATAACAGAGTCTGTTATTTTATGGAAGAGAGTAAGGGTGGAATTCTTTTCCCCTTGAAAAGTTATAGAGTTTCTTTCCTTATAAAGGTGCCATAGAGTTGCCGCTAAGGATGCTTTCCACAGAATTACACTTGATTTTCTCCATTTGTCCTCGAAAGAATGGGCTAACAAAGACGTTTTATAGTTTCAGCAGTTGTACGCAAATATCCTACTTCTGATCGATCATCGAATATACATCCAGCACAAGCAATAAAGGAAATCAGCAATCAAGCCAAAAGTCCATAATGAAGACTTTTGAAGATATAAATTTTGTGTTTATTATATGATGATTTCTGAGGAATCTAACATAGTATTTCATAACTCATCACACAGCCTCCACACTCATATTAGCAAATAGATGCAAGATGTCTAGCAATATGTTTCTGTTGCTATTTAAGGTTTACAGGGCTAATGATATCCATCCTTGCCTCACACTGGAAGCGCTTTCTTCAAGCCCATAGCTCAAATGGAAAGCTTGCAACCTGAGGTTGCTTGTTTGAATCCAGCATACCCGAAAAAAATAAATAAATAAATAAACAAAGTCATGTTCCACCTACAGGATATCCAGAGAAAATGAAAAAGAAAAACGAGAAAACCAGCCCTCTATGAAACTTAAATGCGAAACTAATGATAATGTTAGAACTAAGTTGACATGCAACTTAGCCCCCAGCCAATTAGGAAAAGAAGCAAAGACAAATAACAATACTTTCCCGTCCAAAATGTTCCACACTTAAATGAGCACTTGAGATAAACAATCCAACATAAGTCCCTAGATGCAAATAAGCATTCAAGAACAGAATAGAAGAGTAAATTTCTATTAGGAACAAACTAATGACATATATTTATCAAGAAATCACTGTATGTAAAAGAATTCAAATTGTAAGTTGATCCTACATAACATCAAATCCATGAAAATATGCTGCAAAACATTCTGAAAAGGTAAATGACATAACTATATAGTGGTGTGGCACATATAAAATGGTTGTGCGTATGTTCAGACTCCAGCAGTATCAGTTCCATCTAGACCTTTAGTGTTCTTATATTGAATCATGAAAGCCCAGCCATACTTCAGTCATTAGAGGAGCATGAAACTCACCTTAATTGAAGGAAGAAGTCACATGTAACAAAAGCAAAGGAATACATAGTGTAATGTACTATAAAGAGAAGAGCATACTTGAGCTTTGCCACTGAGTTCTCCACCAAAGCATTATGGCATAAAATGCCAGCAGGAGAGCGGTACCAGCCATTATCACTGCAAGACCTATTAGATCTCGATCCAAAATGGCAACCAGCCAGGCACCCCAAAACACAAGCATAGCAATTGGAGATATCACAATAATCCAAGCACAAAGTGATAGAAAACCGCATAAGAAGCTCAATTGCGGACATTGAACAAATTCCGGCCACTTCCTTGCAAAGACCCAACTGACACACAGAGAAATAACAATCATGCAATCGAATACAAACAAACAATTGAATACAAATTACTCACTAAAAACATGTGATAACATGATACATGCAACAGGTATGAACACCCGAGCGAAAACAGGACATGCCAATGAACCTCCAACTTCACATATAACCTCCAACTTCACATATTCTAGAGATAATTCAGAATACAAGTTAAAATTTGATTGCATTATAATCCACATAGTTCGGGTTAAGTATCTCAACTGAGAGAAAACAGCCAGCATAGAAGTACAACATATCATGAGAGAATAGAAACAATCTTTAATTTAGTGTCAAGATATCACTTTACGTTAGGTATATTCATCATGGCAACAAACTTTTCAAGACAAAAGTGTGTCAACTGAAAAATATTCCAAAGGCCGGTAAGCTCACTCAGATACTAGATGCATCCAACCTGTTTCAGGAAACCCAAATGGATGTCTCTCTTTTTCCTTTTCTTTTTTTTCCTTTTCTTTTTTTTCCTTTTCTTTTTTTTCCTTTTTTTTTCCCCTTAACTTAGCAAGGGGTTTGATGCCAACCACCTATGTGCCCCTGCTTGGATTACAAGCCCCTGCTACTGGGCTCCACAAATGGATGTCCCAAAATGTCCAGTAAACATGCACACGACAATTATGCATGGCTCTAAAAATGTCTCTCACTAAGCATAGCATAAACGTCCAAGAAAGAAGATGCATGTCACAATTCTGCATCGTCCTAAAATTGTAACTCTTATTTTGTAGAGAGAAGAATCGGTAATTGGCACTCTATAGAATGTCCGTATTTATGAATATAGAAAGAGAAACAGATGATTTATTTATCACCAAGGAGATATGAATACTGTATGGTAATGGCAGCAGGATGACATTCTTCACCCTTGAATAGGGATGTCAAGAAGAACAAGTCATTCCAGCGGAAAAGACTGATCTTCAAAGCATTTGACCTTCCCAATTTATTTTTCTATTGGAGCTTCCATCATTCCTTTTATTGAGCATAATACTTGTATATGCCTAAGGTAACAGTGTCAATGCAGTAAAACCCCTGAATGCTCCTAGGATACCAATAAATAAAACATAATACAAACAGAAAAACAAATTATGAACAAATATAAAATTATCACCATACCATGTGTTGATACTTATATTCATACAGCATAATAACTTATATGTACAAGCATCATTCAGTAGGATGGAATATTCATCTTTGTATCTATGTCCTGAATTTTGTGAGATGTCAAGTTGTATCCCGCTCCCCACATCCATGCCAATATCCACATTTGTACATTAGTCGTATATATTGGACCAAAATCAACTTAAAAGTGCTAAAAGAAGCGTAAATGTAATTAGTATATAATGATGTGGTTTATTGACTAATTGATGAAGTGAGTTTTTTTATTTTTTATTTTTATATTTTATTGATTTTAGATTTGGTATTATTAGGTTTTTAATTTATTTAGGGTTATTTTTGTATTTTTTTAAGCAAAGGATATTCATAGTAGGAGTTATCTTTTAGTTAGAGGAAAAGATTAACATGAGCTTAAAAGGAAAAAGTCCTATTTTTATTGACTTGAGAAATTTAGAAAAGATTCCCATGGAGAGATTGACGTTGGATTGAGTTTGAGAGATAAGATATAGAGGAAAACTTGAGGGGATGAGAGAGAGAGAGAGAGAGAGAGAGAAAGAGAGAGTCTTATGGTTTTTTTTTTTTATTATTATTCTATTTATTATTCCTTTTTAGTTGTATTTAAAGGGAAAAAGGTCTCTTCTTTGCAAACACAGTGATCTTGGGGTGGACTCCTTTGCAAACCCAAAGAGAGGGTTTAACTTTAATCTCTCAAGTCTCTTATTTTATTTGTTTTTTCTTCTTTTTTTTTCTGCATCAGTTGGTATCAGAGCCTTGGGATCAAATATCAATAGACCTTATGGAGCATTTGGAACGATTTCATCAAATATTTGAGCCATTGGATCTACAATTTGCGAGACACATGGAAGGCCTTCGCAGAGTAATACAACAATATCTACAAGATCAACTTAATAGATCAAGAGGAACAAGAATATGAAGACCTAGATCTCAATGCAAACGACACTGAGAATAACCCTAAAGCACAAGAAATTTTGAAAATCAACTATGAAGAAAAAGACATGTGTGATGCCATGTGTGAAATCCAACCATGTGAGCCTGAAGGAAAAATCAAGATTCAATTTAGTATCCCAGAGTTCAATATCTTAGAGTCTCGTTACAAATTGCATTGGATCAATTGTTTATTTGAAGAAAAAAAAGTACCCAGAAGAATATTGGGACTGCTTCGTCAACTTTTGAGAAGGCCTATGAAAGATTTAAGTTCAACAAGCTCGAAGTCGAGCTTCTCCCAACCCTGGGAGAATGATGCAGTGAGTTTTTTTATTTCTATATTTTCTTGATATTAGATTTGGTATTATTTAGTTTTTTACTTTATTTAGAGTTATTTTTTGAATTTTTTTTGTTGTAAAGATTTCAGGGGTATAAAGGATATTTAATTTAGAAGTTTAGGTTACTTGTTTTGTTTTGGGAAGCATATTTAGGGATGTGGGATTCATAGTAGGAGTTATCTTTTAGTTAGAGAGAAAGATTAACGTGAGCTTAAAAGGAAAACTCCTATTTTTATGGACTTTTGAGAAATTTAGAAAAGATTCCCATGGAGAGATTGACGTTGAATTGAGTTTGAGAAAGAAATAGGAAGATATAAAGGAAAACGAAGGGGGAGAGAGAGAGAAAATCTTATAGTTTGTTTTATTATTCTCTTTTAGGTGTATTTAAAGGGGAAAATATCTCTTCTTTGTAAACAAAATGATTGGAGAATAAAGAAAGAGTTTGATCTTAAAAAGATATTGGGGTGGACTCCATTGCAGATCCAGAGAGAGGGTATAATCTCTCAAGCCTTCAATTTTTATTTTTATTTTTTTGTTTATTATTTTTTCCCTGCATCACTAATCATCCATTGAAATGGAAGTGGTTCTTTTGGCTTACCGATAATCAAGTATAGAGACTCAAAATAGTCATCTCACTACCTATATTCTTCTAAGTTTATTTTCGAATAACACATTTGATCCACCAAATCAACCAGGATCCAACTTCCCTTTGGAGTTGTATGCACAATAGGCTCACCAAACAGGTGAGGTGCTACAGAGAAGGGGAAATACCCATCTTGGAGACTTCACTTAAAAAAATACATTTTGATCTAACATATAAATAAGGGAAAAATATCTCCATATCCCCTATGTTTAAGTTTCATTTCTTGATAAACCTGAGGTTTCAAAAAATATCTACTAACCCCCTGGCCACTTTAAACCTATTTTTTAACCTAAACAAATGTAAGAAAGACATGCTCTTTCTAAACCCAATCATTTCTCTCTTCAATTATATATCCCAAACTTCTCTCTTTCTCTCTCTTCCAACGTCTCTCACTCTCTCTCTCCTCCCATCTTTCTCCAAACACCTCTCTCCCGATAACCTCTCACCTCCGTGAAATCCAACCCAATCTTTTCTCTCTTCACTTATATACCCCAAATTTCTCTCTTTCCCTCTCTTCCTACGTCGCTCACTCTCTTTCTAGAAACGTGAAGAGAGAGAGTGGGAAGAGAGAGAGTGAGGGAAGAGAGATGGGAAAGAAAAAAAGAGAGAAGGGGTGCGGGGAGAGAGAGAGAGAAATTTGAGAGGATGGCTTTTAGGAAACGCATGTCTTTTTAGATTTGTTTGGCCTAAAAAACAAGGTTTAAATTAGCTTAAGGGATTAGAAGAAATAAAATCTACGATTTTTATGCCCCAAAATATCTTTTAAAACCTTAGCACTATTATGAAATGAAACCTAAAAATAAGAGGTATGGAGATATTTTCCCTATAAATAATTTATTGCTTGTGCACATGATGGAAAAGGAGATTTTGAATGAGCAAGTTGTCTCTTCCTCTAGAACATTTGCAATCCTCCACGGTTCAAGGTATGCCCAGATAGACCATTTAATCAGATTGTGAAAAAATTGTAGGCAATAACAAACTGATCTTTGTCTCCATGGAATCCACAGCTCCAAGTGAGTCATGCAATAAACATCTTGCCTTAGTGGTTAGCATGCAAGGCCTATATCACTCAGATCCGTGCTATATACTATCTTATCCAACAACAATAACGACCCAATTTCATAAATCCAATGAGCTAAATCCAAACTCCTCTAACCTGACTAATTAAATTAACCTTTAACTTTAACTGATCTTTAAATAATACCCATGACATAATACACACATTATCATCTCTAAGAATATATTGTTTCTACTTGAGGAACACAAAAATTGACATAAGGCAACCCCATCCCCCACCCCCCAACTCCAAGGATCCAAATGGACTTGTTATCCACAAGCTAATCAACCCCATTACAGTCTCAATTAGACAAATAAATAAATTAGATTACCAGAATGACCATTGTCATGAGTTTTTCTTTTGGAGGGATGACAGATGAGCTTTCATATACATCACATTACCAGGTATGATGCCAAAAGGTGGATGACTCACCCTGAGTGCGTCCATGTAACCCAAATTGACCTTCTACATGGAAAGAGACATCAAGAAAGAGAGGGAGACAGAAATGATGAACCGATGGAGATATCCATCAGTAATTTCTCGTGTCCCACAAATTGACCAAGATAATAGATGATAGCAGTATATATATACATGAATGGGTTTATAAGGTAACAGTTTTCATAGAGAAAAAAATTGAAGGGCTCTTCCCCAACTTTTGGGATTTAGTCACGGCTTGAGTGGTAACAGTGTTGACAATAACACCACTAAGTACTAGGTTCAAATCCCACCGCTGACCTGGCCAAAATAAATAAATAAATAAATGAAAGGGTACGAAAGTGAAAAATTGGTGTATGCTTCTCTGATAAGAGAATCCTTCCAAGGATTGTTGCTCATGTATAACAAGGAGGGGATAAGCGGTTTCAAGGAAGAGTAGTCAATGGAAAGAAACGTGAAGATGGTCAAAGACAAAAAGTTCTCACGGTATAGAAACCAAAAAAACATGTCAAACCTGATGCTTAATCCAATATCAAAAGGATCATTAATTTTCAGGAGGCCAGGAGTGAGAAAAATGCATTGTCATACAGATGGAGGAGAAAAATTGGACTAGGCCTTCCCCTTCAGGATTTGGCTGATTGTACAAGGGTTGCAAGTCATGTGGCCAACACAAGGACCAAACATGACATTAATGGTAACTTCATCAATATAGAATACAATAGTCATCCTAAGAAGGTCTTGGTGGAATTACAAGGATATTAACCAAAGTTAAGGACTTGTAGTCCTATCAATCTCTAAGCAATGTAGTAAACTAGAATGTCAAAAGGCCAACTCTTTCCCTTTGTTCCACCTACTTTCCTAGTGGGGTCAACAAAGGTTTTCCCAAATGCTAATCCCATTAACAAATAATAGCTTTCTCCATCTCGATCTACTTTATCTATCAGGGCATACATGTCCAATGTACATATCTCTTTTGTGATAATTTAAGCAGTATGTGTCTATCGTGTTGATTAACTATTTGCGAAACAATATACACAGGTAGTGTTCTTTTCAATGATGTGCATTCAGTAACATGGTCGTATCCATAACATACCATGCATAAGCATGATTCACTTGTCATGGGTAGTTCCTGATTTTATAAGTAGTCTTATGCAGGCATGAAGGGCGTGGGAGATCCGGAAGGAATCGACAAGGACCATAAGGCCAAGTACACCCGAAGAAGCATAAAAAGCAAACTGGAACTTTCAAGCCATTTATCAGGCCTTGGGTAAATCATGAGGTCCCAATTCAAGACATGGATCTTTTCTTTCTTTTTTCTTTTATTTATTTATTTATTTATTTATTTATTTATTTATTTATTTATTTATTTATTTATTTATTTATTTATTTATTTATTTATTTATTTATTTATTTATTTATTTATTTATTTATTTATTTATTTAGTTAGTTGGGGTCTCTCAGATTTTTTTCTTCCATATTACTAGTTGTGATTCTGTGTCATTTCCCATCGTTTCTGACAGAATTTTCTGGCAAAGCACTTAATATATCATAAATTTACCCATTATGAATAATGACACCGAGAAATTCCTCTTTCTTAATTAAGAAAATACCCATAAACAGTTATGGTATGCTGTAACAATTTTACTGCGAATGCAACAATACATTCGACAGTACCAACCCAAAAATACCAAAAAATTGAAAAGCATTACAATTTAGCTTAATCTTCACATGAGAAGTAAGAGAACATAGCTAAAAAACTCACCTGTATATCCTCCATGGCCTCCAATTGACTGCCCAGAGAATCGTAACAGATAGAAAGCTAATCACAGCAAACACGGCGGCACCAACCGCACATGCCATTTCAACACTATACTCATCAAGCTCCATTTTCGTCGCAGAGATACCAACCTTCAATTCCAGAGTACCCAACAAACCCTAACACCAAAAACCATTAAGCAAGCTCAGATACAACCCTGGTGAACCCTAAGCCGCAGACTCAAAAACCTAAGGAAAAAAACCACGAAAAACCCTATTACATCCAATTCCGGCCAAAAGACACTGGAAAAACACAAATGCACAAACACTGGAAACAGAATGAACGAAAAATACCTTCTTTTAAGAGACATTGGCATAAAAACCAGTAAAAACTCTATTGACATTGCGAACGAATACATTTTCAGTGAAAATATTACCGCATTTTTAGGGCAAAGGTACGACAAAGAACGCAGTATGTGTTGTGATTAGGGCTAGGGCTAGGTTAGGGTTAGAGAGAGATATTCTGAGGTGCTGCGACTGCCAGTCGCAGACAGTAGAGGGGTTTCACACAAGAGAGAGAAAGTTAGAGAGAGAGAGAATGAGGGAGGACAAGAGGTTCAATAGTTGTGAAACCAAGTCTAGAGAGAGAGCGTACAACTAGTTATAAGAGGGGCGTGATTTGCGTCTTACTTTTAGTCTGAGACGGACAAATGTGCCCTCGTGACGGAACTTTTTGCCATTTTCCTTTGGTTTAGTTTTTATTTCTTTTCATTTTTCGAAGGGGTATGGGTAGACCCGACCTGGGTCCGGACATGGAGTTCAAATCTTCGACCCGACGGTTCAGGTCTGGTTCAAATTTTGGACCTGACCAATATTCAAATTCGGGTTTGGGTTCAGGTAGACCCAACCCACACCTGAATCGAGAGACAACCTGACCTGAATAGTGTTGATATTTAAATAATATTAACAATATATTATTCAAATAAATATATTGCTACTTATTTTTAAGAAAATTTGTTTCATGCAGGCTAGACTGCATTTCTACATATTCGGTCTAGAAAATTTAAGGCATCTATCTTAAAGATGGATGCAATTAGGTGTTCCATCTAAAAACAATGGAAACCAACAATCCAAATTATTATTTTTAGTGTATAAAAGTTATTTATTTTTTCATATTCATGATCTCCATGTTAGAGATTACATGTCCTTAAAAACTAATCTT